TGGCAGCATCGATGGACTCAAGTGTGGCAACAGTAGTGAGGTTGGCCCAGGATCGGACATTGTTTCTTTCTGCTGTGCATAAGGTCGCTATGAGTCAGTGCCAACTCGATGGCACCTAACAACAACAACTGGTTTCTAACTCTAAATGCCAGCAGACAGTGTGTCAACCCAAAATCTTTCCAGACATTGTTAAACTAACCCCCTGGTTGAGATGCTTTGGTCTAACAGCCTTGAGTGCCATATTCCCAAAGACTGGTTAAAAGAAAAGCATCTGACCATCCCTCCAGACGCCCAGCTCAGTGCTCCTTCCACCTCATCATTTAGCCTACCACATGGCTGTTAACCAATAGGCGCCAATACAAATGCATATCTGAGCCTTTTGTTTTCCTCATTGAAACATTGTCTTCAGAATAAAAATGCAGACCTGTCTGCTGGCTCAGGAGATCTACTCAGTCATCCCATCTCTTGAGCCTCTGGTTCTGCCATGCCCCTCTCCGCTCCCCCTCAACCCTATGCTTAAGCCGTTATGTTTCTTACTGGGGCTCATGCCCTTCTTGCTATTGAATCTTTGTATCTGCTGTTCCTTCCACCTGGAATACAGTTTCCCATTTCTTTACCTGGTAAATAGTATTTACTGGCCAACACTCAGTTTAGAAATCCTCTGCTTTAGGGAGTATTTCCTGACTTGCCTCAGGTTTAGATGTGCCCCTCTAACAGTTATCACACTATGCTGTGTTTATTTTCCTCACTGGTGTGGCACTTTTGGATTAGCACTGGACTGCTAACCACAAGGTTGGTTGTTCAAACCCACCAGTCACTCCTCGGAAGCCCTATACAGGGTTGCTATGAATCGGAACAGACTCGAAGGCACTTAACAACATATAGCATAGGAAGCAGGATAAGTGTTAAAACACGTGTGTTGAATGGATGAATGAATCGGTGGGTGGATGGATAGATGGATGGGTGGAGTCATCTTTGAATAGTTCTCCCTAGGGATAGAGTCAAGGAAACTGAGGCACAGAGAGAAAAGGGACGGATACTGGGTCAGCTGATCACTTGTTATGCATTCTTTGCTGTGAAGCATTTCCTTCTTTCATTTCAAGATTTCAAAGCCAGAGGAGAAGCCAGTTGATTACCTCAACTTTGATGAAATCCTACTGTTGTAAGTTCTTTCTGATTTGGGGTTGGAGCTGCCTCCGTGAATAGTTCATCCAAGTGCAGCTTCTTGTGCTACTTCAAATGTTTGTTCCTTTTTCCTCCCTCAAGTCTTCAAGCCCATGAAGATTTGTTATCGTGTCCTTAAATAGTTATAAATAAGCATGCTATAACCAATTGGTTAACCCATCCTAATGTTGGAGTGTTCTCATATGATGGGTCCGAATAGAAGAAAAATCCACCCATTTAGAAGAACTAGATGATCAGACACGGGTAAGGTGTGGATGATCCCTTTTCTGGGTGCTGCCCCTCCCCATCCTATCCACGTGGTTCAATGGTAGTAACCACACAGGTAAAACCTCCATTCCCTGGTCACAGATGATTAGTAATATTCTCCAAGTCAAGTTAATGAGCTCCTTCCCCAGAGAAGTTAGGAATGGGGCCAAGCCATTCCACCTGGCTGCTTTCTTGAAGAGAAGAGGTACTGTCCATTATGTGGACTAAAAGAAGAGGAAGGAGGTTCACAGAGTGAGAATGAAGCAGATATTCAGAGAAAAGCAAAGAAAGGCATATAGCAGGGATTTTTTGGGCTCCCCACAACACTGCAGTCCCTGGTGCCAGCCATTACTGTCCTTGGGATCTGTAGCATGAAGTAACTTAACCAGATCCTTTCTTGGTGCCTGTGCTAACATGAATGTGATATGTTACTTGCTCCCCAACATCCTAACAAATGCATCCTCCAACTTAGGAAGGGCACTCACCCAGGCTTTGAAGTAAACCTAAGAGGGCACCAATATCTACTCCATGCAGCCCATAGCGCCACATGACCCACCATGGTCTAAATCCAAGCAGAGGATGCCAACTGCCCAACTCCTTACCGGCAGGCAGTTGGCTCCACCAATGGAGATCAGTCCAGCCAGAAGACCCAGCACCATGGCTATCCAAGGAGAAATAATCAAGTGACCAGGGGTGCCTACAACCACGCCTCCTGCCAGCACAGCATTGTGGATGTGAATCTGCAAAGAGAGAAATTGTGGGTGAATTAAGTAAGACACACATTGGAGATCATCTTGGCCCAAGTACTCAGCAAGTTGATAGCAAAGCAAATCTGTAGCAAAGCAAATCTTCCTCGTTTAGCTGATCCTGAACCCCTGGCCCTTCGCTTGGTTGAGACTCATGACCTTCATCAATGGGCCTATCTCACCCCCACCGCTTAGACCCAGGGAGCAGTTACCCTAATGGGGCAGGCAGTTAGGAATCAGTTCAAAAATACACAGTTACTCAGCAGCCTGGCCACCCTTCACATTTATTAGTGATATGCCATTGGGCACTTCAACTCTCAATGCCTCCGTTTTCTCACCAGAAAAATGGGGTTGTGATTGGATGTAATCAGTAGGCTTATGGAAAGAATTAAATAAATGACTACATGTTTGCCCCTGAGCACAGTACCTGGCATTGAACATAAGCAAATACCCAATAAACTTAAGCCATTATTGTTATTATTATTATTATTGGCTCCTTGGTGTCTACACCAGTCCATTTGACTGGACCTAGTTCCAATAGCTAGACCTTGTTCCTGGGTCACATCTCTACCATGCCCTTCATTCTTCTAGAACTGGACCTGTGTTCTGCTCTTACCTTGCAGAAAAGAGGAAGGCCCTTAGTGAGATTGGTTGGCAACAATCATTGTGCAAACATAGCAATGGTGGTGAGGATTGCCCAGGCCTGGACAACACTCTTCAGCTGAACATGAAGTCACCGTGAGTTGCCATCAACTTGCGAACTCCAAGCAACAACCCTGACCATCATGATGCCTTCACCTGCCTCCCTGCATGCCCCCACCTTGTCACCTCCTAGACTCACTGTTACCACGGAGCTCACCTGTGGGGACCCCAGCTCCTCTCAGTGCTGGGGTTAAGCTGTTGATCTGCCATCTGTTCCACATTCCGTCCACACCAGGCCCCCTCTGTCTAGGCATATCCACCCAGATATGCTGGCTGGCTGACCCCATGCTCTGATTGTTGTGGGGACTGGTTTCTCTTTAGCTCTAAGTTCTCACCCTTCTCTCCCCACAGAGCCCATGCAGTCTCCCAGCTATATTTGTAACCACAGCCTAGCATTTCAGTACTTTACATGCATTTTCCCTTAATTCCCACTTTCCAGATGAGGCAGATGAGGCTCAACCAGTTTAAGTTGCCTGACCAAGGTCATGGTGGCGAGTGAGTCTTCAGATTCTCATTATCCTATTACTGCAATTTCTTGGAGGGAAGGAGCAGACGTACTAATTCTATTCTTTATTTTTCTGCTGACTTGCTCCTGGTAGCTGGCTTTAGTAATAGAAATCACAGGGTTCGGCCTTAGGTCTGTTTGATATCAAAGCTCATAATTGAATCCCACTTTGGCAAGCCGTTGAGCCTGCCTCTGTCTCCAAGTTCCAGCACTCTTCCTAGAGCTTCAATTGACACTTCAAACTCTTTCACAAGCCATGGGGCTGTCCTTGAGGATGACAGGCAGGACGTGAGTATGTGTCTGGCCTGGAGGCCACCTAAGTGCTGTCCAAGGGTCCCCCTCCCTTGGCCCCCTCCTCACCATGTTGATCTTCCCTTGGGGGTGAGCTGAGGCGGAAACTGAGATGGCGGTCACTGCACTGGTCGCAAGAGCATAGTAGGTATTGAACACAGCCTTCTTCTTATCACTTGGAACATCCAGCAGAGCAGAGTTGAAACTTGGCCAGAATATCCACAGGAAGAGGGTACCTGGGGGTCAGAAAGGGCCATGGGCTACAATCACCACTCTGCTCCAAAGTCCTGGCTCTCCAGGAGCTTCCGATAAGGAGACTCCCAGGGCTGACTGGCTTGTCTCTTTCTCATTACAGACCTTGGACAAGTCATATCTACTCTCTGAATTCTCCAGGTGGTAAGAAGTAGCTAGCGTTTTTTACAGGCAAGGACACTAAGGTCCAGAGAGCTGTAGGTTCCTGACCCTGCTTTTTAATGGCCAAATGCTTATTTTGGCATCATGGTGTGGTGTTGTAGGATAAGCACTCAACCTCAAGGTTAGTGGTTCAAACTCACCAGCTGGTTCTCGGAAACCCTATACAGGGTTGTTATGATTCGGAACAAGCTCAGTGGCACACAACAACAACAGATGCTTATTATTTATTTTTTTAAGAATAGGAATCAAAGAATCAATGGGAATATACGCTCTGATTGGTGACCACATTCGTCACCAATAAGGAGAAGTGAGGGAAAAACAGCAATGAAGCTGTGAGCTAAGCCCTACAATGTTCAATAGACTCCTGTGAACCCGGATGGAGACCTGGTTGGCCAGCAGTGTGGCAAGACCTGGGAACTCTTGGGCCCAAAGTCAGTGACATAGCCACAGAGGACTAGAGTGGAGAGTGAAGCATCCAGCTGATATGAAGAGAGGGCATATGCACAAGAACACCCACACTAGCAGATAATACCCACTTGACTTGGCTTCAGTGACTGGATGATCAGAGCTCAATTAGAAGAAGAAAGAAGAGGAAAAAAAGAGTAATCTGATACAATTTGATGAACTTGACCTACACCTATGGATACAGGAGCTCACAAGAGGGAGCAAATCTTTACAGCAAGGATCATTCCCACCTCCTCCATACAGAGTAGACAGGGATGGGCAACTTGGACATTGGCTACCCAAAATGGGTGGGTGGGTGGGTGGGGGAGGGCCTACAAAGGCAAGAAATGTCTGGCTTATAAGCTTTCAAGAGGGAACCTAGATCCAGAAGACACAGAGGAAGGTAGAATCTCCACTGAGTAGTATCCAGTCTGTCTGGGCGGGGCTGATGAAAGGAAATGCAGATAGGTCTCTTGTGATACAAGAGTGAATAATTGTTACCAGGACTGATTGTGAGGGTTGAAAATGTAAAGGTAGACGTTTTGTACCAAGGAACGGAGTGATTAATTTTGCAGTCTAGGAGCGGAGGTCTCTGGGACCAGCAAGGGAGAAGAGCGGAGAGCGGGACCCTACCCAGAGAAGCAGTGACGCCAGAGATGGAGACAGAGATGATGACGTGGAAAGATGGAGCAGCTGGGGACTTTAGACCCAGAGAGGGAGAGGGGCTGTGTGCTGATGAGTGGGGGGCAGGCTTGCAAGGTATACCCTTTGGTTGGTTGATGATGCATGGAGGGTATTGTAACCATGACAATGAAACAATATACGATAGGATGAATGTAAAACTAATGTTCTCCCATGTAAAGTATCACATAATTCATAATAAAACATTAAAAAAAAAAAAAAAAAAAGGAATCGATGCTTTTATTTGCCCTGGTGGTCTTATATCCATTTACTGACCATGGAGCTCTATGCTCAATTTTCTCTAAGGCTCTCCCAGTATCTTAAATTCATCATTTTCACTACTGCTTTTCAAAATCCAACATTATTTCTATTCTTTTCCTTCTCTCACCCATGTTCCTCCATTCACTCTGTGTCCCACTTCATTACTTGCCCAGTTCCCAGTTCCCTCCTTTTACTGGAGGGCAAAAGAGATACATTTATTTATACTGAAACATCAGTAGTCCCTCCTCTTTATTGGATATCAACAGAGAGGTCCCTTGAGGGGCATCCTTAATTAAAGGCATGAATTCAACCAACACGACTCTCAAAAGTGAGTCATTCTGTGGAGGAGGGATGGGCAGGGGACTAAAGGAGAATTATTATTATTATTCAGCAGAGTCTGTTTTGAGCCTCTCAGCTCAGCCCAGGTATGTGACCACCCACCCCACATTGTTCTTACCCAGCATTGCAAACAGACTGGGGCTTGTTGCTGGCTGATAATTCTCCTTCGCTTCCTTGGACAGAGGACTTGAGAAGCAACCGGACACAGTCAGCCCAAAATAGGCCGCAAACACGTGTACTTGCATCATGATAGTGTGGTTGTCCATCTGCAAGAAAACCCGATGCGAACAGTGAGTGTTGATCACCTCCACCCTTGGGTAAACCCCTCGAATTCCTTGGAGACAATTTTGACTAGATCTAGAAGCCATGAGGCTGGTGTTGAGTGCTTACCTAGTCCTACAGGGAGTCCCCCTTCAAAGAAACCCCATAGGAAACGTGGACTTATCCCAGGGAGCTCGCTGAATGACCTTATGAAACCATTTGGTGTGGAGTTGATTACAACTCATGTGACCTTGATGTGTCAGAGTAGAACTTCACTCCCTGGGGTTTTCAACGGTTGTGATCCTTTGGAAATTACCAGGCTTTTTAAAAAAAACAACAACTTTTTATTGCAAATTGAGTGAAGGTTTACAGAGCACATCGTAGGTTTTACATTTACCAAATCACACTTTGTTTCTTCTCAATGATTGCAATCGCCTCCCTGGAACAACAGTGATCCCACCTCCTCCCTGTGGTTCTGATTTGTATTCCACCCTTCTTCCCAACCCTTCTGAACTTTGTCCTTGGGGAAATGATGCCTTTTTGATCTTCAATGGTGAGCATATCACACTAGTGTTGTTATCGCCCCAAATACCTATCTACCACTTGGCTGAAAATTACGCCAGGAGAGTAAGTCCTCTTCCAGACCTCTAGGGTGACTGAAGTCCATGTTCTTGGATTCCTCCCGTCTTTCTGACCAGTAAGCCTTGTCCTTTTTTTTTTTTAAATATAATTTTGAGTTTTGTTCTACATTTTCTCCAACTCTATCTAGGACCTTCTAATGTGGTTCCTTTCAGAACTCTTGGTATGGAGGTTGTTGTCGTTGTTAAGTGCTGTCTAGTCGGTTCTGACCCATAGCGACCCTGAACAGGATTTCCAAGGCTGTAAATCTTTACAGGAGCAGAAAGCATCATCTTTCTCCTGCAGAGCAGCTGGTAGATTCAAACTGCTGACCTTGCAGGTAGCAGCGCAGCTTGTAACCCACTATAGTATCAGGGCTCCTCAACCTTCACTGAAAACACTATGAAACAGTATTTTAAAAAACCCCACAAAACTCTAAGGAGGAGTGCTGCTTGTGCTGTAGGATAAGCACTGGACTGCTGACCCAAGGTTGGCAGTTCAAATCCACCATTTGCTCTATAGGAGAAAGAAGATTTTTTGCTCCTGTCAAGATATATAGCCACAGATACATGTTTGCTATGAGTTGGAACCAACTTGATGACACTTAAGAAGAACAAGGAGCCATAAACTGGACTTGATTGGACAAGCATCTGGTTACTGGTTTCCACCTTCACAAATGACTCTAAACTTAAGACTTTTGACCATCTCTCCCAGTGAGGACACATACATGGTTCCTGGCGCACTGACTAGTTTGAAAGCAGTCACTGGTCAGACAGCTAGGAACCTTTAGGGCCACAGGAATTAGTTACCTTTGTATATATTTTATGATTATCTTGTGAATAGCACAATCATATTTTGAAAGCTAAGAGCATTAGTTTTCTGTGTTTGAACACTTTGCATAGATAACATTAACTGTATTTGGGACTGTTTTAATTTTTTAAAGTCTAGAAGTCTCACAAAATAGAGGTGGTGGGCCCCATGCTTCCCCTCCATACTGTTTCCCTGAAGTTCCCGCCACTCATGGCACCATGACTCACATTGAGGATTTGCTTGCAGACCATCCTCATGGAGCCAAAGACTGTCAGCTCCACCAGCACCATCACCATCAGCTGCACCAGGTTGACCTTTCCCAGGACAGCACCCAATGAGATCAGCACTGACATGGCACTCATGGTGGCCAGCTGAATACTGGGGGAGAGAGAGACAGGTTGACGATGAAGAAGCATGGCCTCTCATACATTCATTCATTCCACAAACATTTGTTGAGGGCCTACTCTCTGCGGGGTACTGGGACACAAGCTTCCACCCACACGGGGCTGATACTGCACAGCCGAGAGTTAGTCTTTCCTCCCCTTCCGCATGAGAACAGCATCTATGCTGTGAGTAATCAAACTGGATACACTCATCCACAATGAAGTTGCTTCGAGTTGTCATAGAACATGTCAGAGTGAGTTAAGGAAGCTGATGATTCATACAGGGTCCCCTCGTGGGATCTGCCCACGGATTCCTCTCCTCTGCTGTCATCTCTCACAGCTGCTCAGTAGAGGGCGCTCTTCACCTGCCGACCCACCCGCCATTCAGCTACTGCCTTCCTGATCCTTAGCCCTTATTGCTCCTCTCCCTCTCCACAGGTCATGGAAGGAGCTGGATTTGGAAGTAGAACAAGCCTGGCTTCCAGGCCCAGCTTTTTCATTTGAGCAGCTATTTAAGCTTCCTGAGCCTGTTTCTCTATCTGTAAAATAAGGATGATAATACTACTTATAATTGTACTAACCTTATGGTGGTGGTGTGGGAATTAGAAAGGACCATTGGTGCATGACTATCGAGTACCATAACTGGCACCAAGAACTACCTTTGAATCGATACCCATATCATTATATTCTTCCCGGGTGGTTCAAACTGTTAGGCTGAAAGGTTGGCAGTTGGAATCTACTCAGGTTTCTCTCTAAGCAGAATCCTGGCTAGCTGCTTCTGAAAGCCACAGCTCTTAGAAGCCCTATATAATGTGGTTCTAATCTGCAGCACACGGGGTCACCATGAGTGGGAACCAACCTGATGACACCTGGTACTGGTATTTCAAGTCCTTCCTTCCCTAATAATAAGCATGCATGTTCAGTGTAGGGAATCAAGAAGAGAAAGGAATTTTGTTTTCAAGGTGCTTCTAGTCCAGCTGGGGAGGCAAGGCTGACACCAGGGACCTGTTGGCTAAGAATATCCATGAATGGTATCAGGGGGCTAGAGGGGCTCAGTGGAGGGAGGGAGCGATGTGGACTAGACTCATCAGGGAGGGCTTCCTGGGGGAGGTGTCACTGAACTGAAACCAACCCACTCTCCCTGGGGAAATGACTCTTCAACCACACTTCTCACAGTGATGATTGACTGAACTTTCTGTATAATGCTTGTTCTTATATCACCTCATTTAAATTTTCAACCTTAGAGCAATCTTCTGTAAAATGGTGTCAGGGGTTCCATTGAGTACATCTCTTTCATAGAAGCATGCATTGAGATGAGGAGAGGGAACTTTTTTGGCAATAGCTTCATAACTATAGCCTGACCAACAGGAAGCTCCAGCCCAGGTGGCCTAGATCCAGCGTCTGTACTGTGAAGTGTAGACACAGCCTCCCCCGTGTTTGCTCTCCAAGAAGCTCAAGTATTTCAGAGGGAAGGTCAGAGGTCAAAGGACAGATGAGGAGATCTTATAAGGAAGGCCCAGGAACTATTTAGAATAAGGCACCGCTCAATGTTTCATCATGGCTCCGACGTGTTATGCCTGTCCAGTGAGTGTTTGTTTAACTGAAAAGGCACAATTGAAAAGGGTGTGTGCCAGTGGTGGCATCTGAGACCTCAGGGCCCACTTGGGGAGATGCTGAAACAGTGAAACACAGTAGGTAGGAGTGCAATCCTGGGGCCAGATTGCCTGGCTAGGATCCTGACTCAGCCACTTCCTGGTTGCCTGTTCCTGGGCAAATGACTTAACCACTCTGTGCCTCCATATTCCTGTCTGCAGGAGGAGGCAACACCTACGGAGTTGTTGTGAAGGAGGGCAAAGTGAGTTCACACAGATAAAGAACAATACGGAGGTTGGTTATTGCTATTACCTTCTAGAGGGAGCCCTCCTAGACCTTTAAAATACAGCATTACAAAGAAAAATCACACCATTGACTGGTTCCTTTGAGTTCTCTTTTTGTTCCAAGGACCATTAACTAAGTCGTTAAAAACAAAGGAGGACAAAGATGAATAAGACAGGCCCCTGCCCTGAAGGAACTGACCGTCTGTGACTCAAAACAGAACCAATTCAGTGCCAAGTCAGGCGGCACAAGTACGTGTGGCCCTGTCCCTGGAGGCAGGCCTGGACACCGCCTGTCAGCCCCACCCTGGCAGGAACTAGTCAGGAAGGAGGCCATTGTTCAGTCTGTGAAGCCAGTCCAAGAGGGGTGGGGGTCACAGCTGGGAGAATCCCAGTGGTCAGAGACGGGCACAGGAGTTCGTTGGAACTCAAAAGGCTCTTTTTTATTGAGTTACAAGCAAGCAAGAGGGGACTCCAGGAGGGGAAAGTCAGAAGGGAAGTAGTTGTTAAGACTAGAGGAGTCCCAAGGTGGCACAGACGGTTAAGTACGCAGCTACTAACTGAAAAGTTGGCAGATACCTCAGAAGAAAGACCTGGTGATCTGCTTCCAAAAGGTCACAGTCATTGAAATCCCTGTGGAGCACAAATCTCTGACACATGAGATCCCCATGAGTTGGAGTTGACTCAACAACTGGTTTCTAGTTTGGCTTGGTCTTCCTGTTCTTCACCAGGAGGCTGCAGGCTCATGTGGCCTTCCCTCGCAGCCAGGTTGTCAGCACTGTCAGAGCTCCCACAGGCTTGCTGCCCTTAGTCCTCATGGTATTAGCCCTAAAACCTTTCGGAAGGACACATGCGGAGAGTTTATTTTCAGGCGAACTAGCTAGACTATGTTTCACATCACAACTCAAGTAGGCAGAAAGAGTTGCAAGGTAGGGAAAAGCTCAGAAGTCTTTGCCTAAACTTATCTGTGTGACCTTAGGTAAATGCCTTGCTGTCTTTGAGCCTCTATTGCTTACCTGTTTACTAGGTTATATCCCTGCCTGGGTAGATGTAAACTACTGGGCATAGTGCCTGGCTTGGCTCTTGCTGAATTGTTCAGCAGTAGGGCCTATCGGGCTGGCAAGGCCTCCAAGGTGTGGGGTGACCTTAAGAAGGCACAGGACCCCTAAAATGTCCATGATGGGGGGATTTACCACCATCTGGACAGATTTGTTGGATAAAACCTCCCCCTCCCCCACAAAAAATGTGTGGTTTGGATGAAAGTATACAGAGCATAACTTGTTTTCTAGTCCATAATTTGTAATGTATGTTGCAATTCCCTCAGTCTAATAATACTCTTCATTCTTCCTCCCTGGCCTCCCTGTATCCATTCATCCTACTTTCCTGCCCCTTTCTGGCTTCTGAGTTTTATTTGGGGGTATATGCTGCCCTTTGGTCTCGTACAGTGAGTTGTTCTGAGCAGTTCGTTCCTCAGGACTGTCATTGTTCACTGTGAGGCCTGTCTGTTGCTTGGCTAAAAGCTGATCCCCAGAAGTGGGTTCTGTCCTGGCTTGAAGGGTATTTAAAAGCCACTGACTCAGGGGTTCTGCCATTTTCTGTCATTAAGTCTGGTTTTCCAAGAAACAATGTTTTAGGAAAAAATTGACCAAGCTTTTCTATTAGCTTCTGTTGTTGTTAAATGCTGTCAAGTCAATTCTGACTCATAGTGATACTGTATACGGTCTTCAAGGAGCAGCTGGTGAGTTTAACTGCCGACCTTGTGGTTTAAACGCTTTGGTCCAGCACATGATCCTGTAGCATTACACCAAAACTCCATGTACTGTGCAATATATATATATACACACACACCTTGATGGGTTTTTATACGTATCCCCATAACCAGCACTCACGTTAAGACAGAGAACATTTTCGGCACCCCATTAGTTCCTCTGTGTCCCTTCCTAATCAATAATTACCCCCTGTCCCAGGTAACCACTATGTTGACTTCTAGCACTATGAGTAAGTTTTCTTAGTTCTTCAAAGTTCATGCAAACTGAGCAAAGTTAATTGAAAATAAAGTTATTCTTTCTTTTCAAAAGACTGTCTTTCCAGAGGCAAATAATGATGTATGCATGACCTTGGAACAACAGGGCTCTGGGATACAGGGATTGAGACGTGGTTGGAATAGGGAAAAGGGAGAATAATGTTAAGATGCTTATGAATCTTGGTTTCCCTTGCCTACCATTATAAAATAGACACTTGAGGGGGAGAGAAAGGAATAGCCAGAAATATCACCATAGAGAGCTTGTAAGTCCATCTTCTGCCTATAAGTGATTGGAATACCTAAAATGGGGTTACAACGTGCCCAGGGAAGGAGGCCTCCTATGGAGCCTCTGCGTTACATAAGACCATAGGTGGAGTCCTGAACCACATCCAGAAATTCTGAGGTGGGAAATTTCCACTTGAAAGGACACGCAGACCAGCCTACAGCGGCTAGAAGAACAGAAGATACTTCTTGAAAGAAAGACCGAGAGGAAAAATACAAAACAATATAGGCAGACCAACTGATAACTACAAGAACAAGCAAGTTGCTCACCCAGGAGACATCAAGGCAAGTAGTCGGGTCCCCTCAGGGCAAACCCCCTTCCAAGACTAAGACTCAATGGGAATACATGCTCTGATTGGTGACCACGCTCATCACCAATAAGGGGAAGTGAGGGAAAACCAGCAATGAAGCTGCGAGCTAAGCCCTACAATGTTCAATGGACTCTTGTGAATCCAGGTGGAGACCTGGTTGGCCAGCAGTGTAGCAAGACCTGGGGACTCTTGGGCCCAGAGTCAGTGACATAACCACAGAGGACTAGAGTGGAGAGTGAAGCATCCAGCTGATAAGAAGAGAAGGCATATGCATAAGAACACCCACACTTGCAGATAATACCCACTTGACTTGGCTTCAATGACTGGATGATCAGAGCTGAACTAGAAGAAGAAAGAAGAGGGAAAAAAGAGTAATCTGATACAATTTGATGAACTTGACCTACACCTATGGATGCAGTAGCTCAAAAGAGGAAACAAATCTTTACAGTGAGGATCATTCCCACCCCCTTCATACACAGAGTAGACAGGGATGGGCAACTTGACCACTGGCTACCCAAAATGGGGGGGTTACAAAGGCAAGAAGTGTCTGGCTTACAAGCTTTCAAGAGGGAGCCTAGATCGAGAAGACACGGAGGAAGGTAGAATCTCCGCCTAGTAGTATCCAATCTGTCTGGACGGGGCTGATGAAAGGAGATGCAGATAGGTCTCTTGTGATACTATAGTGAATAATTGTTATCAGGACTGATTGTGAGGATTGGAAATGTAAAGGTAGATGTTTTGTAGCAAAAGGAGGGGAGTGATTAACTTTGCAGTCTAGGAGCAGAGGTCCCTGGGACCATCAGGGGAGAACAGCGGAGAGCGGGACCCTACCCAGAGCAGCAGTGACGCCAGAGATGGAGGCAGAGATGATGACGTGGAGAGATGGCGCAGCTGGGGACTTTAGACCCAGAGAGGGAGAGGGGCTGTGTGCTGACGACTGGGGGGTCAGGCTTGCAGGGTATACCCTTTGGTTGGTTAATGATGCATGGAGGGGATTGTAACCATGACAATGAAACGATATATGATGGGATGAAGGTAAAGCTAATGTTCTCCCATGTAAAATATTACATAATTCACAATAAAACATTAAATAAATAAGAGACTGTCTTTCTGTCAGAGTGCAAGTGGAATGCAGGACCCTATTCAGAGAAGCAGAGACACCAGAGATGGAGGCAGAGAGGAGGACATGGAGAGAGGGAGCAGTTGAGGACTCTGGACTCATAGAAGGAGAAAGGCTGTGTACCGGCAGCCAGGAGGCAGACTTGTAGAATGTGTCCTTTGGTTGGTTATTTAAGTTATTATATATTCCTCAGTGTTTTTGTGTACATCCCTCCCGCCCCTCCCCCCCAAAAATAGACAGAGGGAATAGAAGCAAATACTGTTGAATGATGATGCATGGAGGAGATTGTAATCATTGCAATGAAACAATGGTGTAAAATGGATGTTCTTCCATTTAAATTATCACTCAATTCACACTAAAAACTTAAAAAAAAAAAAAAAAAAAGACTTTTTCTGAGTGTGGCATTTCTATTTCTTTTTATCCAATTTCTTAATTTTTCCATGACCTGATAGTTGTTGTGTAACTTTACAAAATCATAATCAATAATAAAGGAAGGCTCCATGGGGGTGGTTAGAACCCATCCTTCCAGGCCTTACACCCTCAAGAACCCAAGAGCTGCCATCTTGTTACCTGTCCGGGCTGATGTGCATGTTCCTATTGAAAGGTTGACTCAGGAAGCCATCCAGCAGGATTGCCCATTGCACCCCCAGGGCCAGCATGAAGAGGTTGAAGGCCACACTGCTCCAGCCGTGTCTCCTCAAATACGAGGTGAGGAAGCCCAAGCCAAGGGCCGCCATGATGGTAATATCCTGGAAGACTGCACAGGGAGAGGTTGAGGAAGAGGAGGAGGAAGCAGAGAAGATGGAGCTGTGTGTAATTAAAAGCTTTTATGGGTCAAGTTTCTTCACTCCTTTGACCTTCAGTTTCCTCATTTGAATAATGAGGATGATAACATATACGTACTCCAGAGGGTTGAGGTCAGGATGAAATGAGCTAATGCTCGTTCAGCAATTAAGACAGGGTCTGGCCCATACTGAGTGCTCAGTAAACGGAGCAATTTTGGGTATTTTAAGTGTAAAGGTATCAACTAAAGGAGCCCTGGTCACATAATGGTTAAGTGCTCAGCTGCTAAAAGAAAAGATGGTAGTAAGAACCTACCTAGTGGCTGCTGCCAAGGAAAATCTGACAACCTGCTTCCATAAACATTGTTGTTGTTGTTAAGTGCTTTCAACTCAGTTCCGATTCATAGCAACCCTGTATAGGGTTTCCAAGGAGCAGCTGGTAGGTTTGAACTACCAACTTAGTTGTTCATAGTCCAATGCTGATCTTATAGCACCACACCAGGAGTCCCCCATAAAGAAAAACCTATGGGCAGTTCTATGCTGTCACATAGGGTTATTGTAAGTTGAAATCAACTAGACAACATAGGGACCGGCGCTTGGCACCTAGCTGCTATTCAGTAGAAGTATTTATGGTTGTTATGGGAACTCAGGTTTAACTTCTGGGTGACACACAGGAGAAAATAAAGCCAGAGAATCTGAGTGACCTGGCCCAGGTCACACAGAGGGAAGACAGAGGCAGGGCCGTAGTAGCCTCTATTGCCACGAACCAACGTATCTTTGCAAAAATGACGTTCTCCCTTTGCTACCTGTTGTGAGGTGGACCAGTCGAAAGCACAGAGCCATTTGAGTGACCCTCACTTTTTCCAACTTCAGACTCTGAGCAGGGACTGTTGGGACAGGGGCATGGAGACATGGTAAGGCTTTTGTCTGATGCAGGCTTTGACTGAATTCCTGTTTCAAAATATGGTTAGCAGCTTGGATTTGAGAACTAGACACACTTGGGTTTCGATCAGTGCTTTCTCTGGAACTTTCTAGCTGTGTGAATCTAAACTTTCTAGTTTAGATCTGAGCTTTAATAACAGCCTACATTTATTGTTTATTATATGCCAGCATGGTTTTAATCACATTATGTGGACTATCTCATTTCATTTTCACATCAGGTACTTGAAGTGGGTGTTGTTGTTAAGTGCAGTTGAGTCAATGCTGACCCTGTATAGGGTTCCCAAGGGGCAGCTGGTGGGTTTAAACTGCTGACCTGGTGGGTAGCAGTTCAACGCTTATCCTACAGCACCACACCAGGACTCCATTTTACAGATATGAAAATGGAGGCAAAGAGAAGTTAAATCACTTGCCCAAGCTTCTAGATTTGGGATTTAAACCTAGATAGTCAGTTCTGGAAGCTGTTCCTATAACTACCACACTATCTGCACCTTTTAGTTTTCTCATCTATTAAACAGTAAAAATAATCATCACACCCTTATAGAGTTACTAGAATCAAATAGTATAATGCATGTAATTATTCAGAATAGTAACTGCTATTTTGTCAATAAACACCATCTATTTTTGCAATATGTAAGTGCCTGGAGAGAATTCTTAAAGCCTTTTTCTTTCTTTTACTAGATATTGTCTCTGGGTTTAGGAGGTTATTTTGACTTTTTTTTGTTTTTTTTTGGTGCTTAATTTTCTACCATCAGTATGTAGAAGAGCATGTAAAATGGAAAAAACAAACAAACTATGGACTTTAGACAATTCTTTTTTATATTAAAAATTGGTGGGTATTTATGTTATATATCTATAGAAAAGTTAGATTTTTGTTACAGTGCATTTTTTTTTAAACGTTTGATTATGAATTGGGTGAAGGTGTACAGAGCAGACCAGTTTTCCATTCAGCAATTCAGACACATTTTGGTTCGGGTCATTGACTGAATCCCCACAATGTAACACCATGGATCCACTTCTCCCTGTGTGTTTCCATTTCTCCTTCTTTCCTTCCCTTTGGATCTCAAATGGTTGGTTATTCTAAGGAGTACGTGCCTCCCTCGTGTTATTGTCTATTGTCTGGCTGAAAATTGAGCCATGAGGGACAAGTTCATTTCCACACCTGAAAGATACAATACATCTCTCTTTTGTTCTTTGTTGTGGTTCGTCTAAAGGTGACAAAACATTTTTGTCATTTCAGCCATCATCACATGTACAATTCAGTGACATTATATGAGGGGGCTTCAAAAAGTTCATGGAAAAATTCCCTAATCTTGTAATTCCATTTTTCCATAAAGTTTTTACAACCCTCTAGTACATGTTAAAGGAGCTCTGGTAGCGTAGTGGTTATGAATTGGGCTGTGAACCGCAAGGTCAGCAGTTTGAAACTATCAGCTGTTCCGCAGGAGAAAGATGAGGCTTTCTGCTCCCGTAAAGATTTACAGCCTCGGAAACCCTTTACAGGGTCGCTATGAGTCGGAACCGACTCCACAGCACACAGCCACCACCACCAGTATATGTTAGGAGTCCTGGTGTGGCGCTGTAGGGTCAGCACTGGACTGCAAACCATTAAGCTGGTAGTTTAAACCCACCAGCTACTCCTCAGAATCCCAATGCAGGGTCATTGTGAGTCAGAACTGACTCTACAGCACTTAACAACAACAACAGTATGTGTTTATCATGTTTAACAATTATTATGTCCAACTATTATCATGCTTAACCATCACATTAACCATTTTCCAATTTTTTTTTGTCATCTGGTGTGGGGCTGCGGGTTAATGTGCTGGACTGCAAAGTCAGTTTGAACTGCAAGGTCAACAGTTCAAGCTCACCAGCCGCTCCTTAGAAATCCTATACAGGGTCGCTATGAGTTGGAACCGACTCAACGGCACTTTAACCATCGGAAGTGCAGTGTCCCCTAAGTATCACCTGACAATTCCGTTTTGATCTGAGATCTACCATTTCCCACTATATTGAACCGTATTAAATTGACAACATTCAACTATTTCGCCCCATAAAAATGGCAATGTATATGTTTCAACTGCGTCTCTTACTTTCCTCCTTAGCTAAACAAGGACAATGTTTGTTCTTGGCACATGGAGAATGCTCCGTAAATGGCAACTATTCACCAGCATGATGACCATCACAGAGTGAAAACTCATTCGCCACTGGCCTCTCGTCCTGGTCCTGTCTCTGATGAAGATGAAGAAGCTCTCTTGACTGGAATTCTCCACAGTGGCAGAAAGCTCCTTCAACTTCAGACTCCATTTAAATGAACGTCCATGAACATACAGGCATCCCTGTAGTCTGGCACATTGGGCTTAGGTGGGTGTCGGCATTGCCAAATTAGTGTCAGAACTCCAGAATGTAGAAGGCCCCTTGAAGACATCTGTGAGTTGTGCTGTTGAATAAACCACATTTTATAGCAACACAATTCACATAGGATTAGATTTATTGAAGAGCCCATAAGTAGGGAAGTGCCGTGGTGATTTGTTTTCCTCCCATTTTACAGAAGGGGACCAGAAAGGATTAGTGACTTCCCCAAGGCCACACAGCATGCCAGCAGTAGAGCCAAGCTCTGAACTCCAGGTATACAGTTCTTCTACCAGGCCAAACTGTCTCTCACTCTGTTCTTCCTTAGGAGTCTTAAGCAAGTTCTCTGCCCTCTCTTAACCTCAGTTTCCTCATCTATTGTTGCTGTGGTTAAGTGCCGTTGAGTTGGTTCTAACTCATAGTGATCCTGTATAGGGTTTCTGAGGAGCAGCTGGTGAGCTTGAACCTCTGACCTTGTGGTTCAAACTAACCTTGCAGTTCAGTGCATTAACCCACAGCGCCACACCAGGACTCCTTCCTGAACTATAACACACAGGAATTGGGCTTGATTCTGAGAAGCGAATTAGTGAGAGGGCAGGTAGAGGTGGGCCCTGAGGAGCTAAAACTTATAGGATTTCCTGATGGGGGTGAAGGCTTCATCAGGCACAGCTACATCCATGTATAGGAGCTTGGGGCATCCCTCCCCACGGCTCCAGTTCTCCCCAAGAGAAGAGTCATGCTTCAGCCAGCAGAATGAATTCAGAAGTGCAGTTTCTGGGAACTGTTGAAGAGCTCATTGCTCACAAACTGGTCCATTAATAACATTTGGTTTCAGGATCTCTCTTCTCACTTTCTGTATCCTCTGACTTTTTTCTCTAAGCCTCTAGGTGCTCTAAGGTCGCACCCAGCCCCTCTGCATCTCACCACCTGGATGCCTACTTCAGGGCCGGGCCCCAGACCAGCCTACTCTGTATTCCACATCAGCTGCCGTCTGATAAGCTAGCAGGCTGTAAGGTGTTTGGGATGATAAGCAGTGGGTGTGTTACTGAGGCCTCCGGGGACTTGGGGCCAGAGGGGAGTTTTTCCATTTAAGGCAGACTTTCAAGAAAAGTTCATGAAGGCCCATGACTTGGTAATAGAAAGTCTAATCTGAGAGTTCAGCCACATGAGATGAGGCAATAATTCACCATCATTGTAACCATCCCAGGCACTGTACCAAGCACCTTATAGCCTTAGCCCACAACAACCTCAGGCAGTAGATACGGTTTGTTATTGCCACTTTGTGCATGGGGACAGGGAGGCATAGAAAGGTGCTATAACCAGCCCAGGTCACACAGCGAGTTTATGGTGGGGGGAGGATTGGATCCTGACCACAAGGGTTTAGCCACTACACCATTCTGCTACTCCATACAACACATACTACTCCATACAATACATACTACTCCATATAACACATACTACTACATACAACTGCCTAAGAGTGGGGGCCTCTGAGGAAGGTATCAGGTTCAGAGTCTGTCTCTGCCTTTGTATCCCAACTTCCTAGTCTGTAAAGTGGGGAGGAAACAATGGCACCTGCTTGGAGGAGAGCTCACTGGGCCTGTGTCGTGGGCATAGTGACTGTGAGTAACTATTACCCCTTTTATCAGGACTGTTCCTTCTCTCAGCCTGCTCATCTAGATATAAAGTGTCCATTCGGATCACTTCAGTGCCAGCTTTCTCAGCCCTTACATCTGGATAGCTGTCTCCTCTAGCTTGGCTGTCATGTGATTCTGACTCTGTGCCCCCATCCACCTTTACTCCTCCCTCTGGCCTGCAGACACCTAAGCACAAATAGCTTCTATCCCCGGCCTCTGGGTCTGACTTCCTTAGCATGACTAGGAAGAATCTGAAGCCCTACCTGGCGTCATTCATGGAACTCCACCCTACCTTGCCGTCTCAAAAGCTCCCAACTCTGGGAAGAGAAAAAGAGACCACTCCAGGTAGAAATGTGGAAGGTGCCAGGCCTGGGGGTATTTGTATCTACCAGGCAAGCTTCCCTTGGCTTTAATAGATCTTCTTCCTGCCTCTGCGAAGTAGATGGGTAGGTACTGAGTGGGAGTCACAGCCCAGAGTCCAGGTGGCTCCCCAGTTGGACTATCCTAGGGCAGACTTTGGTGGTGTAGTGGGTTATAAGCTGGGCTACTAATGGCAAGGTCAACAGTTTGAATCCACCAGCTAAACTGTAGAAGAAAGGTGAGGCTTTCTGATCCCATAAAAACTTACAGCCTTAGAAAACTTATACAGGATTGCTACAAAACAGAATGGACTCAATGACACACAAGAGTCCGGGCTCTATGGCAGATAGCTACAGTAACGGCTCCCAATGAATCATGGCTTCCAGTATACCTGAGTTTGACCTTGTGATTTGCTTTGGCCAATGAGACATTAGTAAACATGGTACAAATAGAGATTGAAACACTCTTAGTCATTGGAGCTTGCCCTCTCTTGGTACTGAGAACTTTTCTGATGCCACGTGAAGAAGTCTGGGCTAGCCTGATGGAATTCTTCAGCTGCTAACCTCAAGGTCAGCAGTTCAAAACCACCAGCCATTCTGCAGGAGAAAGATGAGGCTTTCTGTTCCTGTAAAGATTTACAGCCTCAGAAACACTATGCAGGGTTGCTGTGAGTTGGAACCAGCTCTAAGGCACATAACCACCACCAGCTGCCAATCAGCACCAACAGCTAAACATGTGCAAGAGGCATATAAGGCCATAACATTCCATTGATACACTCCATTGATACAGCTGCCAATGGATAAGGCTTACGTCAACAAAGTCAGCCTCGAGTCTTCTAGCTTTAAAAGGTGTCCTGAGAGAATACAGGACCACCTGGGAGGAGCTGATATGTGATTCTCCATATTCCTCATATTGCAATTAATGGCAGTTAATTTAAAAAAACCTCTTCCTTATGGAAAATTTCAAATGTACACAAAAACAAAGAGAAGAGCACAGTGAAATCTCATACCCAGTTTCTAGCTCTGATAGCTGTAACATGAGGTCAATCTCATTTTTATTATCCTGCTCCAGGTTTTCCCTCTAAAACTTCACACAAAATTAACAATAATTCCTGAATACAGAGTCCTGATGTGGCGCTGTAGAATAAGACTGGACTGCTAACAACCTGATTGGTAGTTCAAACCCACCAACTACTCCTTGGAAACGCTATACAGGGTTGCATTGAGTCAGACCAGACTCAACAGCACATAACAACAACAGCAACATAATACTCTCTCTACATTCAGATTTACCTGATAGTCTCAAAAATGTCTGTTTTGAATTGACTACTTAGAGACATTTATTATAGTTTTCAGGGACTGGATTAGATTATGTGGACTGATTGATTAAATAACCTAGTTTTAACTAACTTAACCTTCACAAAATGAATAGAAGACTCAACTCACACACACACACACACACACTGAAGGTGAAACAATAATGGCAGCTATACGCAAACATTGGAGGAAGACTAATTACCAACCTGCGATATGCAGGTGATACAACCTTGTTTGCTGAAAGTGAAGAGGACTTAAAACATTTACTGATGAAGATCAAAGAGCACAGCCTTCGATACGGATTACATCTCAATGTAAAGAAAACAAAAATCCTCACCACTGGACTAATAAACATTTTTATCAATGGAGAAAAGAATGAAGTTGTCAAGGATTTCATTCTTCTTGGATCAACTATCAACACTCACAGAAGATAGATCAAACGACCTATCACATTAGGCAAATCTGCTGCACAAGACCTTTTTAAAGTGTTGAAGAGCAAAGATGTCAGCTTGAGGACTGAGGTGCGCCTGACCCAAGCCATGATATTTTCAATAACCTCATATGCATGCAAAAACTGAATGGTAAATAAGGAAGACCATAGAAGAATTGATGCGTTTGAGTTATGGTGTTGGAAGGGAATATTGAAAGTGTTATGGGCTGCCAAAAGAACCAATAGATCTGTTTTGGAAGAAGTGCAGCCAGAGTGCTCCTTGGAGGCCAAGATGGCCAAACTTCATCGCTCATACTTCGGACATATTGTCAGGAGGGACCAGTCACTGGAGAAGGATATCATGTTTGGTAAGGTGGAGGGTCAGAGAAAAAGAGGAAGACCCCCAATGAGATGGATTGGCCAGGTGGCAGCATCGATGGACTCAAGCATGGCAACAGTGATGAGGTTGGCCCAGGATCAGGCAGTGTTTTGTTCTGCTGTGCATAAGGTCACTATGGGTCAGTAACGACTCTATGGCACCTAACACCACCAACAACATAAGCAAACAAGAAGGAAAGGGCAGAGGGACAACCCTTGTGTAAGTTCTTTGTCAACCACATTCAAGGTCTAGAGGGGGAAAAAAAAAGCCAATAAATTCAGATCTAACAGAAGCTAGTCAAGACAATTTTAAATTATTAAGATGTCTACAAGGGGTAGATTCTTGTTCACTGTCATTAAGGATGGATCTTGCCTAGAGATTGACTGACATATTACAATTAGCAGTTTGAGACTATCATGTAATTCATCCTGGGCTCACATTTTCAAAATTTCTAATTCATGTGTATGCATTACACAATATATACATATGAACAAAATACATGAATTCAGTCATATTGGAGTGTAACCTATAAATATGGTACATGCTAGAAAAGTGGTGCACAGTCAGGAAACTTTGAGGACCTCTGGGCTACACAACATCACAACTTCTTTGCTGGTCTTATGACATCCAGTCATGCCCCAGCCCCACCTTCTACAACCAACCCTAAGGGTTTCCTCCACAGCCTTAATGCAAGACTGCCATGCTCCTGTTTCCTGGAACTTAATAGAATCCTTACTGATCCAAAAGGTTCATCATGCCCTGACTCCTCCTGAATACTCCAACAACACTGCAATGTGAACCCCTATCCCAGTTTATCCCAATGAATGTGTTTTGAGCACCCATGCATGCACACACACCTGACCATGACTATCAACAAGTTATCAGTCCACTGAGAACTCATCTTGAAACTCATCTCAACTTCAAAACAAAACAAAACTGTGGACTTGTGCCTTGTTTACAGTTGTTCTCATCACAGTCTGAGGAATACATGTAGCTGCCTATAAAGTAACAACCATTCTACACCCACTTCAGCCATACCTTCTGGCTTTTCTGGAGTTGCAGACAGAAGACAGACTTCCTAGCCCCTGATTGAGAAGATTGAGGTGGGGCAGGGTGGGATGGGAAGGCAAGACTAAAGCTTCTAGAAGGACAGAACAAAAAATGAGCAAGAGAGACCAAAAACAAAAACAAAAAAAACCCCCCAAAAAACCCTCACAACAATTACATGAAAATTCTTGTTGCTAAAGATTGAGAAGTAGGGAGAAGCAGAGATACAAACAGCTATCAAGACAATTTGACAGATAGAATTTTGAAACCTAGACTAGGAGGCCCCTCACTCTGCGTTGACAAATCAAGGAAGGCTTCATGGAAGAGGTGATGCCCAGGCTTCTAAAATGAGAGCCTTCATGGTTGGCAGGATCTTTGAACAATCTACAGAAGAAGATGGGAGGATCCCTTTTCTCAGAGACTTTAAGAAAAGAACCATCTATGCCCCTGGAAGACCACAGACCTCCCAGTCCCTGCCCTTATTCGCCTCCATGGCCACTTCCCCTCTGGACCCTCACCTCGATACGTCCCCATCAGCCTCTTCTGATCCTTTGAGGAACCATCATAGGAGGTGAAAAAAAAAAAGAGGAAAATGAGAACCGCCTCCAGCATTAAGGCCCACAGAGGCAGAGAGCATCGGACAGACCTCGTGTAGTTATAACCCATCCTGTGTCTCTTTGCAGGGCCTCCGCCAGCACTAGGCATCACCCCTCTCCCTCCACATACACACGCTGGAGAGGGCGATAGAGGAGACACCCGCCAAAGGCCTTATCTCATGCTGCAAGACTGGCCCAGCTGGTCTGTCTATGGAGTTAACACAGGAGCTGAGGGACTATGGCACGAGAGGGAGGAACTGCATTTATTTCAGCACTTTTGCATTCATTAAATTATTCTTCTATAGACCAGGCACTGTGCTCAGCTTAAAAGAGGGCACACTATATATAAAACTTCCACAACGTAACAATAAAAAGACATATAACCCCATCGTAAACTGGGGAAAGGACTTGAATAGACATTTCATCAAAGAAGACATTCAAATGGCCACCAGACACATGAAAAGATGCTAAGTGTCATCAGCCATCAGAGAGATGCAAATCTAAACCATGATGAGATACCATTCCACTTCCAATTGGATTGCTAAGATAAATAAAACAAAACAAAACAGAAAACAAGAGATGTAAGTGTGCGTGTGGGGAAATTGGAATCCTTATTTTATTGCTGGTGGGAATGCAAGATGGTACAGCCATTGTGGAAAATAGAATATCATATGACCCAGCAATTTCACTCCCAGGTATATACCCAAGAGACTTGAAAACAGAGACTCAAACAGAGACTTGTACATTATTGTTCACTGCAACACTGTTCATAATAACCCAAAGGTGAAAATGCTCATGAGCAGAACAGATCAACAAAATGTGGTATATATAATGGAATACTACTTAGTCAGTTAGTAAAGGAGCTCTGGTAGTGTAGTGGTTACAAATCGGGCTGCGAACTGCAAGGTCAGCAGTTCGAAACTACCAGCTGTTCCGCAGGAGAAAGACGAGGCATTCTGCTCCCGTAAAGATTTACAGCCTCGGAAACCCTGTACAGGGTCGCTATGAGTGGGAACCGACTCCACGGCATATAACAACAACAACAACTTAGTCAGTAGGAGAATGAAGTCTTGATACATGCTTCAATATGGATGGAGCTAGAAGGCATTATGCTGAGACAAAGAAATCAATCATAGAAGGATAAATATGGTATCACCTCACTCATAAACAGACAAGAAAAGATGACTATAGAAAACAAAGTTTATTGGTAGCTATCAGGGGCAGGAAGGAGGGAGAATGAGGGGTTGATGGTAATGGAAAAATTATATTAATTAAGGGTAGGGTTGCACAGCTGATTTAATTGCTGTAAATAAGTTGTACACCAAAAAAAGCACATCGACAAAAATTGTGTGATAGCTATATTTAAAACAATTCCTCTCCCTTCAGAAAGTGTCAGTATTGAGGCTGCTTATGCACAACCCACAACCTCATGGGATTTGACTTCTTAGCTTGGAAGTTTAGGGTCATGATTTCATGAGACATTGCAGTTCATTGTTCACTGCTTCTTTTCTACCCCCTAGTTCGATTCGTAGTGCCAGGGGTCTTAAAAACTTGCAAGAGGACATCAAAGGTCCAACAACTGGTCTCTATTCACCTGAAGCAGCAGAGACAAAAGGAGAATCAGGAAGAGGAAGAGGACATGGAGAATGGGGCTAACTGTCTCCTTTGCCATGAGTCTAGAACTGGATGGTGCCTGGCTCCCATTACTGAACATTTTGATCAAAGGTTCTACACAGAATCTTGATCCCAAAAGGGGAAATGTAGAACAGAATTTCAAATTCTAATGGAATCGACTTCCTAAAGCCATGAAGTTTGGATGAACCCCAGAAACTATTGCCTGGAGATAATCTTTAAACCTTAAACAAAAAATGCCCCCCTGAAGTATTTTTTACATGTAACAATTGTCTAGTTTTAGAATGTAAAAAAAAAAAAAAAAGAGTCTGCCTTGAGCACCGTGCTCTCTTAAGAATGATCTATATGCACCAGAGATGGAGGCAGAGATGAGGAGATGAGGACCTGGAGAGATAGAGCAGCTGAGGACTCCAAACTCATGTGAAGAGAAAGGCTGTATGCTGGTGGCCAGGAGGTTGGTTTGCAGAATGTTCCCTTTGGTTGTTTAAATGATTATATATTCCTGAGTGTTTTTGTGTACATCCCCACCTCAAAAAAACAAAAACAAAAACACAACAGAAAGAATAGAAGCAAATACTGTTAAATGATGATGCATGGAGGGGATTGTAATCATTGCAATGAAATGATGAGTGTAAAACTGACATTCTCTCATGTAAACTATCACTCAATTCACAAGAAAAACTTAAAAAAAAAAGATCTAGCAGCTCTTGGTCTCTCTTGACTGAGGGCTCCCAGGTTTACTCTCAATAAACCTGCCTGTTGTTGAAGCCAAAAAAAAAAAAGATCTATATGGAATCAAAGCGACAACAGCAACTGGAAAAATGAGATGGGAACCTTAGGGGACCGTGAGTTTATGTGAATGGTGGAGGAACCCCTTGAAAAGGAGGATGAGAATGGCCGCCGAACTCAAAGTATGTCATCAATGACACTAACTGGTTCATGGATAAACTGTTGTTCAGAATATACACAGCAAAACATATATCAGTTCAACAGATACATGTTTTGCTGTGTATATTCTCAATAACAACAATAATAATAATATATAAGACACACACCAAGGAAAAGAAGGCACATAACTATAATCACCCTTCTTCTCTTGTTACTTTAGTTCATCCTCACCATATGCTTGCAAAAAAGTCAGGGAAGGAATTGACATTTCTCTTTTAAAATGAGGCTCACAGGGAGCTTTGGATGGGCAAAGTTTCTCTTTAAAACCTTTCCATGGCATAGAGGACAACCAGTGAGTCTTTTTTTTTTTAAGGTTTTTATTGTGGATTGAGTGAAAGTTTACAGGGCAGATCATCAGTTTTACATTCAACAAATCATACACCTTGTTTTATTGTTGTTGTTGTTAAGTGCTGTTGAGTCAGTTCTGACCCATAGCGACCCTGTAGAGGGTTTCCAAGGAGTGACTGGTGAGCTTGAACCACCAACCTTGTAGTTCAAACTGACTTTGCAGAGTAGCGCATTAACCCACAGCGCCACACGAGGACTCCTTTGTTTCATTACAATGATTATAATCCCCTCCATGTACCATCAGTTAACAGTATTTCTCTCTATTCACTTTAGCTTATTTCAAAACAAAAACAAAAAACACTCAGGCATATATAATAATTTACACAATCTCCAAAGGCACACTCTGCAACTCTGTCTCCTGGCCAACAGCTCTCAGTCCCTCTCTTCCCATGAATCTAGAGTCCTCAGCTGCTCCCTCTCTCCATATCTCCATCTCTGCCTCTGTCTCTGGTGTCGCTGCTTCTCTGGATAAGGTCCCACATTCCACTTGTGCTCTTCTACCTTGATGGTCCTAGGGTCCTCTGTTTCTGGACTGTAAGATTAACCACTCCCCTGTTTTTGTTATAAAACTTCTACCTTTACAATTGTGACAATCGCAATTAGTCATGATAACAATTATTCACTATTGAATCATACGAATCTTATCCCCATCTCTTCTCATCAGACCCATCTAGACAAGATTAAAACTATTCAGTGGGAACTCTTTCTTCCCCTCCACATTCTTAAACTAAACTCCCTCTTGAAACCTTGTAAGACAGTCACTGCGTGCCTTTATCACCCCCTCATTTTAGGTAGCCAGTGTCTAAGTTGCCCGTCCCTATCTACCCTATGTAAAAAGGGGATAGCCTTGGTACTTGATATGAAGACTCCTTCCCTCTCTGTTGGTATGTAGAGTTACTACCTCCATGAGTATAGGTTAGGTTCATCAAATTGTAGCAATTTACCCTTGTTTCCTTTATCAAAAAAATTTTTTTTCTTTGTAATATTCCTCTAGCCAAGTTCTGATTATCAGGTCATCGAGGCTATGTCAAATGTGTACTATCTGCAAGTTTGGGTGTTCTTGTGCATCTCCCCTCATTTCATATAAGCTGGGTGCTTGATTTTCAGCTCTAGCCCTCTGTGGCTATGTCCTTGTCCATAGGCTCAAGTGTCCCCAGGTCTCACCACACTTTGGACCAACCAGCCCTTCCTCTTCTATCTCTCATCTCCAGGTCAATAGGAATCTATGGAACGTGGTTGAACTCAGCCCATTTCTTCATTACTGCCTTTCCCCCTCTTCCACTCACCAGTTGACCAATGTGGTTGCTAGCAAGCTTACATGCCTGTTCAGGTGCTCCCTTTGAGTTTCAGTTGTAGAGGGGAGTTTGTCCTGAAGGAACTCGATTGCTTGCTTTGATGGCTTCCTAACAATCAGCTTGCTTACTCTTGTAGTAGCCAGTCATGCTGACATTTTTGTTTTGGGTTTTTCCTGATGACCTTTCTTTGAAGATGTATATTCTGTTGCTCTAGCTGTTCCAGGCTGTTCTGCTTGTCCTTGCTAGTAGGAATGTCCCACCTCATAAGGTTCTGGATGGGACTCAGGATCTCTCCTAAGGCCCTATATTCTGCAAAGGCTTTGCAAGAGACCTATTGCACTGGACAAGTTCTAGACCCCCTTTTAGGTATTCCAATTAGTTATAGGCTAAAGACGGGCTTACAGGTTTTCTGTAATCATGTTTCTCAACATTACTTTCTATCCCACTCAAGTGTCTGTTTTACAATAGTAGGCAAGGGAAACCAATATTCATAAGACAGTCAAGCATTTTAGTATTATTTACACTCTTCAAACTATATGTTGTTGTTGTTTTTAAGTGCCTTCGAGTCGGTTCCGACCCATAGCGACCCTGTACAGGGTTTCCGATGGTGTAAATCCTTACGTGAAGTAGAAGGCCTCATCTTTCTCCCGCGGAGCAGCTGGTAGTTTCGAACTGCTGACCTTAAGGTTCGCAGCCCGATTCGTAACCACTACGCTACCAGAGCTCCATAC